CACCGTCCTTTTTTTTCTACCTTACTGTTTTTTTTTTTGTTTTTTTTTTTGTTTTTTTTTTTGTTTTTTTTTTTTCAGCGGTCTTTTTTCTATCTACCTTATTTTGGTGACACTCGTTACTTCAATCCCAAAGACCGTCCTTCGGGACATCCGTTAAAATTGGAACGATACAGAGAAGGGTAGATTAGCATGGCCCCTGCGCAAGGATAAGACGCATAAATCGAGAAATCCCAAATAGCAAACGAAATAGGACTATCGCGTTATTCCACGCTAGATCTTCTCTGTATCGTTTCAATTTATTTTTATTTGTTATTTTTATTTGTTATTTTTATTTGTTATTTTTATTTGTTATTTTTATTTTTAATTGAAAAAAATGGACAATTTCTCGATTTATGCGTGTCATCCTTGCGCAGGGACCATGCGTATCTTCTTTCTCTGTATCGTTCCAATTTTAACGGATGTAATGAAAAAAAAAGAAAAAAGAAAAAAAAAGAAAAAACGGATGTCCCGAAGGACATCGTTTCAATTTTGACGGATGTCCCAAAGGGCTTCTTCTTTTTTTTTTTAACCATTTATCGATTTATGCGAGTCAGGGTCCATGCTAATCTGCTTTTTTGGGGGGCGGTAAACTACGTGGGAGTCACAAAAAAAGAGTTATAATTGCACTATGGTGGGCCGAGGTACAGTTTCGAATTGCAGTTGGGGCAATGTATACAACCCAGCTTTCTGGCCAGGTAGGATGCCTGAAGCGCAATTGCAAACTGTATCTTGCCCCATAGTGCAATTATAACTCGTTTTTCTGATTCTACTGAAGCTACCCCCATTTTTTTTTTAAATGCTAATCTTCTCTGTATCGTTCCAATTTTTCGGGATGCTCCAATTTTACGTGCTCATTGTGGATGCGGAGCGAGCGAGCGAGCGAGGAGCGAGCGAGAGAGAGAGAGAGAGAGAGAGAGAGAGAAGACCAAAGAACAACGAGGGAGGGGTTGTCGTGACAGTAAACCAGCACAAGCACTTTGAACGGAGAAAGTATGCATCTATATATACCTCTATAAATCGTCACAAGGATATAAGAGCGCAAAAGCCAAACAAAAGAACCAAGAAAAAGAAAAAAATCGTTTTTTTTATCTTCTTCCGTACAACTCCCCCTGTATAACTCTACATCTGTATGTGAGTATATGAAGAGAGAGAGAGAGAGAGAGAGAGAGAGAGAGAGAGAGAGAGAGAGAGAGAGAGAGAGAGAGAGAGAGAGAGAGAGGAATGATGACTTGTTGATGAAACCAAACACTTACCCCCTTGGTCGAGCGACAATCTTGCGGATGATAGCCCCAGCGTCGATGTGATCAGGTGCTTTCTGCAGATCTACGAGAATCCGTTTGAGTCCATCGGCTGTGAGACGAGGGCCATCAACCGTATCCGACGCCTCACGCTCAAAATACTCCAATACTTTCCGCGGCATCTTCACTAATTCGTCGTTGAATGTCATTTCGATGCACGGCTTCATTATCCCCGCACACCTGAGCATGATGACGTGTCACTCCTACCAATCACCTCTCTCTCTCTCTCTCTCTCTCTCTCTCTCTCTCTCTCTCTCTCTCTCTCTCTCTCTCTCTCTCTCCCCAGAGTTCGCGTCACTCGAAGGTTACGGGGAGATGGAGGAGGACAAGAGGAAGAAGAACAGGAGGAGGAGGAGGAGGAGGAGGAGGAGGAGGAGGAGGAAGAGCCTGGGAGGAAAGAAGGGAGGAGGGCGCGGGAGCTGTTGGGTGGGTTTGAGTCGAAGAAGAAGAAGAAGAAGAAGAAGAAGAAGAAGAAGAAGAAGAAGAAGAAGAGGATCTGTAGGAAGACAATCTCGAGAATGAGAGAGAACGGCTAAGTAAAAACCAGGACGGAGGGAGAAGGAGGAGAGGGAGGAGAGGGAGGAGAGGGAGGAGACGGAGGATTGCGTGGACTCCCAGGATGATTAGACGGGCAGTGGGAGCGAACGAGGTGAGAAGATCAATTGCTGAAGACGAGTGAGAAAAAAGGACATACTCACACTGGGACTTCTTTTTCCTGTTCTCTCTGGACGTGATTGCGGTCAGGTGCATCCAGGCCAGGCTCGAAAAGCGGTCATATACATCCGGTAAACTCCTTGTGCGAGTATACCCCTAAGGAGGAGGAGGACATGGAGTGCGGGAGCAACTGGGTGAACTCCCTGAATTGGAGCATGGTGTGAGATTATTGAGGGAGGATGGGGGGAGGATGGGGAGGATGGGGGGAGGATGGGGGGAGGTTGCGGGGAGGAAGGGGAGGAAGGTAAAGACGAAGCGATGGCGATTCAAATGAGGAGGTGGAAAGCCCGTGCGGCATACGACCTCTCGCTTCACTGCTCACCACATGCACAAAAGAGGAAAAAAAAATATCGTTTTTTGCATCCTCCCATGTTCTAGCCGAAGATTCATTCTCATTAAGCACATTTGATGAGTAGTGCAGCAGGGGCCACCATTCTTTTTTTTCTTTTTTCTTTTTTTCTTTTTTTTTTTTTTGAAGGCCCCACCATTCTATCATCCTCGCGCAGGGGCCATGCTAATCTTCTCTGCTTCCAAAAAAAAGAAAAAAGAAAAAAACTTCTCTGTAAGGATGTCCCGCAGGACAGACCCCACCATTGTTCATACCACCACCGAATCCAAGAGTCGGTAGGGAGATGATAGGCCCTCGCTCCACTACACTCTCCACATACACAAAAGACAAAAAAAAAAGTATCTTCCTATGTTCTAGTGGAGCAAGACCCATAGGGCCTCGCTCCACTACTCTTTTCTTTTTTTTTTTTCTTTTTTTTTCGACATGCACTTCCTTTTTTTGCCTTCGTTTTGAGAAAATAGGCCTCGGCTCGACTATTCTCATCAAATGTGCAAAACGAGAACGAATACTTCGGCAGAACATGCAAACATACACTGCCATATATTTTTGTCGTTTGTGCATCTTTGCTGCTGCACGTATTTTCTGTGGATCTCTACTCTCTGGCCTCGCTCCACTGCTCCATACATTCACAAAAGACCAAAAAAAAATAAAAAAAATCACAAAAGACAAAAAATATATGGCGGTTTATTTTTTTTCTTTTTTTTTTAATATGGCGGTTTATCTTTCCATCTTCTAGCCGTATCTTTCCACTCTAGCCGAAGATCATTCTCAGCGCGTACTGTTTTTTTTTTTCTTTTTTTTCTTTTTTTTCTTTTCAACCAAGGTACACATTCGTAACAGCGCGTACTAAAAAAAAAGAAAAAAAAAACTACAGCGCGTACATTTTTTATTTTTATTTTTTTTTCCCAAGGGGCAGCCAGCTGTCGTACGATCCACTTCTCTTCGGGAACATAATTGCAGTCAGGTACGGACTGTCCCAGCTCAGTTAGTCCACCCGTGAGCTGAACTGTTAAAATACAGACCAGAGTTCGAACTCCACTCGAAGCAGATGAGTGAAATGATACTATGATTCTGAATTACCTAGGGCCGGTGGGCCGTCGCCCAGAAGGAAAAAGCGAAAAAACTACCCCTGCTCTCCAGGGGCGTGGTCCCACTAGCAAATAGCAAAGGATCGGATCAAATACCTGAATCTGGACGTGTTTGTGAACAGGTGGAGGAAATCGAGATTGAACTGCTTTTCTGCATCTCCTGCAGAAAACACATCCAGATTCACGAGCTCGATCCTATCCTTTTTGCTAGTGGGACCTCGGCCCAGGGGCCTACTACTAGTCCCACTAGCCAAGTTTATTACCACGTGTGACGTATTTTTCCTGTATTTTTAGCACAGAAATGTTTTTTACTGCGAACCAGCCAGAAATGTTTTTTAATGCGAACCAGCCAGAAAATAACGCTTGAGCTTTTGAAAACGAATATGGGGCTCCCCCCACACAGCCTTTTTTTTTTTTTTTTTTTTTTTTTTTTGGGGGGGTGGTGATCACAACTGTCTATATTCTTCTCTCAACTTCTGTTTGTTTACCTTCCCACACAGCCTTTGGAATGAAGGCAATTTTTTTTTTTCATTAAAAAATAAAAAAAATGAAGGCATTTTCCGAAAGGTGTCAGACTTCATTGAGAAGGCTGCTCGTCGAAAGAACCCCCCCCCCCTTGGCCGGACAGACTTTGGAAACACCGAGGCCTTTAGACATGCACATTAGGGCCTTCAGATGTGTGAAAGGAGAGTGTGAATCTTTGCGTAGAACATAGAAAGGGCCTCGCCACACCACTCCCGACTCGGGAAATTTTTCGGGAGTGATCCCGGGAAGTGAAAACCGGCTCGGGAGTGCCTTTCGCCACACTACACTCCCCATCCGGCCGGGCTCAAAGTCTGAAAAGGTTATTTGCCACATATGGCCATGATCAGTGTGAAACAGTCTGGCAGAAGTCGTTTGTCCCTTTCGGCTCCACTCCCGAATCTGGGATGAAACTCGGAGCAGCCAAGGAGGTCTCTCGAAAAATAAGCTTTGCACGCGGTGAGTTCGGGAGTGCTCTCGGGAGCCACATTCTGACAGCTCCCAAATTCAATCTGACAGGTTGAACTGGGGAGCTGGTGTGGCCATGCTGCACTCACGAAAATGGCCAAGGGCCTCGCCGCATGGTTGAAAAAATGAAACGGAACGAGCTGAGAACTCGCGAGGCCTCGCGAGGTCGTTTCGTTAACTGGACCATCACCGCACAGCAAAGGCGAATTCTCTTGCGGTAGCGACCACACGAGTCCGTGCGGGGTTCGTGTGTGCTATGCGGCGGTGGCAGCATTTTTTGCAGTTTCCAATTTCGCAGGGTTCGGGTACCAGGAATGGCCCGACACTCCCCGGGTCCGCTTGAGGGTGGAAAGTTTTCTGCTCGGGTTCCCATGCTTACCGTGAAGCCTCGCGAGGCCTGACGTACGCAAGTGTCCAAACAGTGCACCGAGGCTCTTTGGAGCGATGTGCCACACCGGCGCGAATTCGCAGCTCCACCACCACACCTCCGGAGGACCTGTGAGTTTGCGCGAGGTGCAGCCAGGAAAAGCTGTTGCACGTGCCCACGCTCGCGAAAGGTGAAACTGACACATTTCGCGCATTTTTCCTGACAGGTGTCGCGTGGGTGCTGTGCGGCGACACTCTCACGAAACGAAGTCGTTTTTTTTTTTCGTTTTGCGTACCGTGCGGCGAGGCCCCAAGTAGGGAGTAGTGTGCCGAGGCCCAAAGATACACCACCATGATTTTTGTCTTTTGTGCATGTGGAGAGTAGTGGAGCCAGGCCCTTCTAATCGCCCCTTTTTCTTCTTTTTTTTTTCTTTGCCAATAGGCCGTTTCGAGTGGGACTTTTCACAAGACCACTCCTGGGCTTTTGAAGAAAGGCTCCTGACAGGTGGGAGAATGGTGCTTCTTCGAAACGACTTTTGACGCAGAACTATCTGACATCTTTAGAATTTTTATTATTATTATTATTATGATTATTATTATTATTATTATTATTATTAATTAAATACTCAATTCAATATAATCTCAAACCGAGGCCAGGGACCTCACAATTCAACCCAGGGTACTGACAGCATCAGCCAGCTTAGCTTACAGGCATCAGCCCGCAGAACCCGACGTTACTGAGTTCCAATTCCTACTTTTTTTTTTTTTTTTTTTTTTTTGGTTCCAATTCGTACTTCACATGGACCGAGAAGTTAGGCTTTCTTTCATACGGTTGTGGTGTGTCAACTCAGAATGTCTATGTACCCAGAAGAGAATCTGTAACCTTTACTCGCTGTGTTCCTGTGCGTGAATACTTGTCTGCTTTCCGAACACTAGAGTGATCTTGTCTAATCTGATCTGATGTCTGGGACAACCACGGCCCAGAGGACCTGGGACAGGTCCGAGTCCTACATGACACTCTCGTAAAGGCCTGCCAGGACCCTAAACCACCAAGTGCCCTAGTGGGCGATCCTGCTTCCAGGGCATGCTCGCCTGATCAACCCGTACTCGTCTAGTCTACCGTTCATTCCCCAGGATTGTTCATCTCCAGGACCCAGTGTGAGATGACCAGGCCCTTGTACAGCGTCCCTTGTACAGAATGAATCCGGAAAACAGAGAACTTGGCAGAAGGATTAAGGAAGTATCTGGAAAAGACTTGCCAGCATTGATTGCTCTGGATTCTAGAGGATTCACTGACCAGGTTGCTGAAGTCCCTAGCATGGAGGCGCAAATTGTATTTTCATGAAATTCTATAACTGCCTACCAGGTCTGAGTAACACCGTGGATAGCCTCTCAACCAGTCTTAGGAGGATCGACCAAGTCGGATGAGGAGGCACGTTCTGCGTGATCCTCCTATTCCCTTTCTCCATCCTGGCTGGTCCCACCAGGATTGTGCTGGGCGGGTTCCTTTGTGTTCCGGCCATACCAGCTCAGCTCAACTAAGGTATTATCTGGTGGTAGGAATAGGTCAGGGAAATCTGGGGCGGGGGGGAGTGGTATGCCGCTGGGGATTTCAGTCCATTTATGACAGACCAAATGATAGTCCTTTTGTGATGTTTCCAGCCGATCCTTACCATTCAAATGCCAGCCGACGCAGCCGTCCCATCGTATCCATGCAGTTCATCCTCCCCGTTCCCCCCCAATCAGTCCATGCAGAATTCGTGTATCTGATCTTTTTGTGATTTTTTTGTGAGAGCTTTCATCCCTTGTACCGTCTTTTTCCACTGGGCTCTGATTGCGGTTTCAATCACGTCTTTAATCATTTCCGTTATTTCCCCACTTCCCACGCGGGCACCTTCAAGTGCTAAAATGCATCTGCGTCGCCATATAGCCCATAACACTGCGTCCCTCCCAATCCTAAATAAGTTGGCTGTGAAGGTCGAGGCTTGGGCCGACCAATAACCAGTTAGGAGGACCCTCCATTCCCACGGCCAATCTCTGTCCGCGTGTAGTTGGTTACAAATTCAGACCCATCCAAGCCATGTAAGGATACGAGCTGGGCACTGCAGGAAGAGGTGCTCTATTGTCTTGCTGTTCCTTTGAGAGGGCAAGCCCTCCATGCACACGGGATATCCGGGGAGAGCCAACCCTTTCTGCTCCAGGTGGGTATGGTCTATGAGCCATGCATTCGTCGGTAAGCAACGGTGGGTAATCTGCCATTGG